AAAATAACGCAGATAGGGAAATGTTACTTCTGAAACCACGTACTAGGTGAAAAAGGGGGTATAGCAATCCTTGAGGGATTAATTTGTGATATGCATTAGACTTAAAAAAAAAAAAAAAAAAAAAAAAAAAAAAAAAAAAACTTGACTCATAGTAACGTCATGCAATCCTTCGGGGATTGATGGGATAGGTTGACCATTTTTGGTCAATAATTCATTGTCAAGATTCATCCTAAACCACCCATCAACGTTGATGCCTCAAAATTTTCGCGATGACTTAGACGACGACAAGTTCTTCGTTGATTTCGACGCCTCCAAGTTTCGCGATGACAGCGACGCTGATAGCTTCATCTCAGATTCATGGTGGTAATCGCGAGTACGAACGACCGCGAAGTGCTCGAGAAGGTGGTGGAACTCGAATTCATCCATGACCGGAGCCGCTACCTTTAGATCACAGCTTCCAATGGTGATGGCATTCACGATCTGGCCTTCTCGACACCAATCTGGAGACTCATCGCGGTGGACGAAAAACAAAACCCATCAATTTTTCCGGAATGGATACAAGGACGTATACAGACGAATTGATGGCGATGGCGATCTTCCGTTACTCTGATGACCTAACGGTGGAAGCGGAGGTGAAGGCTACAATCGATGCTTCACCGATGGAGATCCCAATGATTTGGGACTTAGGAACAGAGCAAAGTGCGGATAACGTGTTAAAGGAAAAATAGAGAGACAAGGGAGAATCTTCTGTTGTATTCATCGTCCACTATTTTCATATTACAACCATACATATATGTAATATACATTTGTAACGGAAGGTAATAATGGTAGACATAAATGTGACTGTTACATCAGTTACATAATCAACTCATAATGTCCACATTTAATTATATTTATAACACTAATTGTATTTTTACCAATAATTTGGTGACTAATTTAAACCTTTTTCCTAAATTATCTAATGTTATGACCCGGGAAAGAAGAGGAAAATAAGCGGATAGCTTAAGCAACCGACGTTTTGGAAGTAGTCTGTTAATTGGAGTAGATTCCAGTAGGTAAAATAACAATAAAGAGAAAATTTTAATTTTGGTCCACTGACTATTGGGGTTGTGTTAATTGCAACACTTGACTTTCAAAAATGTTAATTAAGTACCTTGACTATGCAATTTCTTTCAATTTTGGTCACTCCGGCCAAATTACCGGTCAAATCTCACCGAAAATTTTTAATAGGTCAAATAATGAGGGCTTTTTTGGTCATTTTACTTTTTCCCTTTCTTCTCCGGCGAGCAACTCCATTTCCGGCGAGCAACTCCATTTCCGGCGAGCCATATGGTTGAACTCCTTAACACTAACAGGGCTAGGGCTAATCAGTTTAATCCCAAGATCAATAATGAAATCATCAGGAGCAGAAATCACTTCAATCGCATTAACAAACCCAAACCCAGAATCAAGAGTGGGTGTAAATTGCAAGAGCAGCGTCCTCCTCTAAAATGGTGAAAGCGGGTGCGATCTCTAATAACTACTGCCCTGTTGTAGACCCCAGACAAAATCTTTGCAAAGTTGTGGCAGTCAACGCAAATCCGGAGGTCTTTAGCAACTCTAATTGTTGTGCCGGGTGGAGTTGAGAGAACACCAAAAGCTATTGCCAACTTCTCGATGTGATAAGACAATGTAAACCTCTTTTCTTCCACCTCCGTGTTGTGCAGCTCTGATGTTATTTCAGCAACGTATCCTGCAATTTTCAGTTGCCTATTAATCTCGTCCAGCATTTCGTAAACCTCAGTCATCCTAGGATGTGAAACATCATCTGCAATGAATTCATGTATTTTACATACCGGTAATTTACACCCACTCTTGATTCTGGATTTGGGTTTGTTAATGCGATTGAAGTGATTTCTGCTCCTGATGATTTCATTATTGATCCTGGGATTAAACTGATTAGCCCTAGCCCTGTTAGTGTTAAGGAGTTCAACCATATGACTCGCCGGAAATGGAGTTGCTCGCCGGAAATGGCGTTGCTTGCCGGAGAAGAAAGGGAAAAAGTAAAATGACCAAAAAAGCCCTCATTATTTGACCTATTAAAAATTTTCGGTGAGATTTGACCGGTAAATTGGCCGAAGTGACCAAAATTGAAAGAAATTGCATAGTCAAGGTGCTTAATTGACATTTTTGAAAATCAAGTATTGCAATTAACACAACCCTAATAATCAGTGGACCAAAATTGAAATTTTCTCTAACAATAAATTAGAGTAAGATTTTGGTAATTATGCATGCTTGGAATTCTTCTTCATCTTCATCTCTCATTTCTCTCTCCCCTCTCTATTCTTCTTCATCTTCCTCTTCTTTTTGTAAACTCTGTTTCTCTCATTCTCCTTTTGCAATTCTATTCTGCTCTTCCATTTCCCCCTACTTTGTTCTAAGAATCATTACAAGTGGTATCAGAGCCCTAATCTAGGAACTCAAAACCCTATCTCATTCACCATGGAAGTTCGGTTGGACAAACTTGAAGCCGGAGTTGAACAGCAAAGTTGATATACAATTTCAAGTCACTGATGATTTGATAGAGAAGGCTAAAGGTTCAGATGTCCAATCTCGGAGATGAGATATCCAAATTCAGAGATGAGATGGTGGAAGCTATGGGATTTGTTAAATCGGCTTTCCCAGTGATGAATTCAGTACAGAGAGGCTCCACGGGCCAGATACCTCTAATGGCTCCCTAGGAAGATCAGTTTCTCCCACCATCGGTGCCACTTGAAGCCGGTAGAAGCGCCAGTTCAGCTCCATCAATTCCGGCTGAAGGATTTGGGGACCTCGCTGGAGATTCGGAAGAGGCGAAGATGAACCCAGGAGCTGGGATGTTGCCGGATCTGATGAAGGAAGCCGCCGGAGATTCCGAAGCGGCTATCTTCGCCGGAAATTCAGAAAAGACGAATCCACGTGTTGAGGGCACTACTGTTCGTGTGGAGTTCATCTGGACACTCTCAGAATTCATAATCTTGATATCATTTTACTTGGATTTTTGGGTGGTTCTGAAGGTTTATTTACAGAAAACTCTCCAAATTACAAATGATGTTCTTGCAACATATAAAAACCATGGTGGTTATGAGATGCTAAAGTTGGATGGCCTCATAATTGTTGGGGGGAATAACATCAATCAGTGATGAAAGTTCAGAAGATTTTAGCAATATTTAGATACCATTTGCGTGGAAGCAAATCCTTGAGGATCCCTCAACAGTACAGATAATTTTTTATTACTATGAAATCAATGAACCTAATGTATCAAGGATGCTAGGATGAAATACTTGTTGCACCTGATAACAGGAACCAAAGATATTATCCGAACAGGGAAAGGACTTACACTTCATGATAATTACTATGAGTTTTGTCGTCTTCTTGGACGTTTTAAAGTAAACTTTCAGCTGCAAGAGCTCGTAAATGTTGAATGTTATGGTGATTGGATACGTCTAGGGGCTGAACTTACTCTGAAATCTCTACAGTCGTGGCAGTGGGCCAGCAACAGTGTTTACTACCTCCTTGGACTCTGGTCTAGGCTGGTTTCATCTGTACCATATTTGAAGGGGGACACTCCAAGCTTGCTGAATGAGTTTTTACCTGAAATTGTCAACTGTTTTATCACATCGAGATTTAGTTTTTTCCAGGCAGGACTTCCTGATCCCTCAGAGAATCCCCTTGATAATGTAGAGCTTTTACAGGATCGGCTTGATTGCCTTCCTTACCCCTTGCAGATTTCAGTACGAGTATGCAGATTATAGATCCTCTTCTGCAGTTGTATATGGAAGTTGTTGATCCCTAAGTCATTTCTGTTGTTGAGACTAAACTTGCTTGGATAGTGCATATAGTTGCAGCTATTGTTAAGACAAAACAACTCAGTGGTTATAGTGGGGAATCACACGATCGAAATCCATGATGCAGAACTTTCAACATGCGTTCTTCGGTTGATAAATATCACTGATAGTGGTTTGCATACTCAGAGATATGCTGAAACAAACAAACAGAGGCCAGGCTTGACATTGCTATTCTCGATCATCTTCTTTCAAAACTTCAAAAAATCATATGTTGGAGACCAAGCAATTCGTTCATCTAAGCCGTTATATGCTAAATTGTCTGAACTTCTTGGGCTTCACGATCGTATGCTCATCTTAAGTGTCATCGTGGGAAAGATTGCAGCCAACCTTAAATGCTATGGCGGGGCTGGGAGACTTGGAGTACAAGATGGAACACCTAAGTCTATTTCACTGTTTGGAGTATGGGGATTCCTTGGTTTTAGATATGATGGTGGTTTGGATTCCATGTCCAAGTTTTTTATGAGAGTTCATGTGAGAAAGAAGTTGCATATTGCAGTCAAGATGTAACCAACTTGATAATCATGCAATAAAGAGATAGGAAGATATATGGTTGGCTACACAAGAAGCAGAGAGAGCAGCAAGATCCTTCACATCAAGTTTCCTATCCTTACAAAAGTCATGAAAAGGTTTAATGTCAGTGGTTCATTCTCCTTGCTTGATCCTTGTCCCCAAGGATCTTTTAGAGGGGAAAGTATTGTTATGACCCGGGAAAGAAGAGGAAAAGAAGCAGATAGCTTAAGCAGCCGACGATGTCGTTTTGGAAGTAGTCTGCTGGGAACGGTTGCTGCTTTGTTAATTGTTTATTAGTTTGTTATTTTGTTTGTTAATTGGAGTAGATTCCAGTAGGTAAAAGAACTATAAATTAGAGTAAAATTTTGGTAATTAGGCATGCTTGGAATTAATGAATGATATTTTCTTTCTCTCATTTCTCTCATTTTCTCTCTCTCCTCTCTATTCTTCTTCATCTTTCTCTTCTTTTTGTAAACTCTGTTTCTCTCATTCTCCTTTTGCAATTCTATTCTGCTCTTCCATTTTCCCCTACTTTGTTCTAAGGATCATTACATCTAATCAACCAAACAAGGTCTTTCCTCGAATTTGAGGGGGAAAAAATCTCCCAAGAAAAGAAAACAGTTTTCATGAACCAAACTGACCATTAAAGTCATCATGAAACGTATTCATCATATTTGCATAACAAATCTGGGTTTTTTACCACATGCATGCAGTAACCACAGTATATATATACACACACACACTACGTATAGTACAAACAGACAGACACTATAAGGAATTCAAGAAATTTAAGCAGATTAGTTAATTAAAGTTGTAAACTCGATCTCTTCATGGATTGTTAATTTGGAAGATCACATCTTTTCCTCACCTCTCCCTCGTCTCCGGTCTTGACCTGAAGAACACTCAGCTTTTCAATGGCGTAACTGAAATCCTTGGCGAAGACGGCGGCGTCCTTAGCGTACTTTTCCACGAAAGGCTTTGTTCTGGGATCTCTCGTCAAGATCTGGTCGGACCCCAGAATTCCTAAACCGTTCTGCAAGTTCTTGAAGTACGTGTTGTCGAAGGTTGTCGGAGTTATGGGGTCGAGGAAGGCCGCCATGGCCGTATTGTTCTTGTAGGCAGCGCACAGTGTTCTCAGGCCGCCGGCCAAGGAGGGGTTCATGGTGGGATCCGGGTGGGGCCCGAAAATCCGGTCGGCGAACTCTTTGCAGTGGGCGAAACCGATGGTGTGGCCGCCGCCGGTGAGGACCACCATTTCCGGGACAGTGAATCCCTGGGATTTGAAAATCTTGATAATCTGGTCAACGGTGGAGTTGGCGCGTGGGAAATGACCTGCCACGCTAGCGGCTTTGGATTGGGTGCCGTCTTTTCGCCCCAGCAGGACATTATAGTGCGGGCCGCCGACCTGGGTGACGAGGTTGCGGGTCGCCACGGCGAGGATGTCGGCGCATGAGACGGTGTCGGGGCACTCGAGTTCCAGGGCGAGCTTGACGCGCTGGATGACGTCGAACCCGTCCCCGCCGAGGGACCGGTTGTCGTCACTCTCCATCTCCGCCTTGTTAAACGCGGTGGACTTGATGAGCACGGAGGCGTCGCAACCGCCCACGGCGCAGTCGTGGTAGAAGAGGTTGAGGGTGGCGGCGGCGGTGGTGGGGAATTCTTGTTGCTTCTCCCGGACAATCCCCGTGAGAATCTGTTCAAATTTGGGGCATGTCTTGGCATAGTAGTCGAAGGTGAGGGCAGATGATTGGGAAGAAGGAATGAAGGAGAAAGATGAAGCCAACAATAGCAGAAGCATTGGCAGAGCCATTGTTGGTTCCTATTTCCTATGCCCTGTGGGTACGTTACGTTATTTGGTTGCAAGACAGTAATATCACCCTTTTATAGGGTTTTATAAAGGGAGAGAATTTCAAGGGAGAAAGAATGGTTAAGCATAATAAGTGTGTAAATGTTCATATTTTTGTCACATTTTAATTTAAAATTGCTTCAATTTTGTGCGAATTGAATTATGGTTTAGTTGTGTTGTTTTCATATATAGGTGCTATTAGTTGCAAATAAGAGAAAATTGAAATGTTTTCGGTTCGAACAATTGTAATTAAGTTTCTAAAGCTAATGTTTATGGTGCCATTGACCCATTTTTCAGCAACGCCAGCAAGGTTTAAACTCGCAACCTCAGCATAGCAACACAAACCCCAACTCATCAAGCTACTCTTTATCTTGTGTATAGGAGCATGACAACCCATGCTTGTTTTGACTTTAGGCGCTAGAAGCATAATAACGGGACAATAGCCCGCGGGGAGGCTTCCCTAGCTCCCTAGGCCATGGCGTGAGCAACGGGGGCTGAGCACCCCTCCGGTGAGGGGCCGTGGCGATGGAGAAAGGGGGGAGGGGGGGGGGGGGGGTAGGAAGTAGTGTGGCATGAAGTGTGGTGGTAGCGTGGTGTTAAGGCACGAGGGTGCCAAGGTGTTAGACATGGGGGACATGTGGGTGGTAAGCATGAAGAATGAAGCAGCATCACACACTTGGCAGCTAATGGAGGAGTTTTCAATATGAGTTATATTATATTTCTGTACATAATATTGTATGTGGATAGTATTTAGTTTGACTTAGCTATCCTAAACTATAGGAGTAGATTACGTTAGCTCAATCTCCTTAGCTTGTATTATTGGTTGTTCTCTTTCAGTTAATGTGATTACGTTAATTCTGTCACTCATCTGGTATCAGCTTAGCATTAGGTTTCCTGGTTTCTCTCCCCCTATCGCAAAAAATGTCGACCAACTCATCTGAGCGCACGGTGACCACCACCACCGCCGCAGCTCTGATCACCACCAACCCTCTCTCATCAGCCCACCATTTCGTGTCGATCAAGCTGACGGCACAGAATTTCCTTTTTTGGCGTACGCAACTTGTGCCGTTCCTCCGTGGCCAAGGTCTACTCGGCTACGTCGATGGAGAACATCTGTGTCCACTGGCAGTCATCACGGCAGCAGCTCCCTCCGACGAGTCGGCCTCCGCCGGCGTCACACCATCTGTCACGGCGAACCCAGCCCACGGCGCTGGAATCCAGCAAGATCAATCGATCTTGTCTCTCCTCATTTCCTCCTTATCCGACGAGGTGATGTACCTCGCCGTCGACCGCACAACGTCAAGGGAGGTGTGGCAGTCCATAACGGCGGCACTGGGGTCCTCCACTCGAGCACGCTGCCTTAACCTTCTAGCCCAGTTCCAATCCCTCCGGCAGGGGGATAGCTCGCCGGCAGAGTACCTCGGCAGGGCGCAACTCATTGTCGAAGACCTCTCATTGGCCGACCGGCTAATCTCCCTGGACGAACAGAACCTCTACGTGTTTAGGGGGCTTCGTCCGGAATATCGCGCAATGGCGGCTTCACTCGCTGTTTCCAGTGAGCCCGTTACCATCCCGCAATTGGCGGACTTCCTCCAGGCACAGCAATTTATTTTTGCAGATGATTTCACGGCGGGTGGTTCAGCTTTCCCTAGAGATGCGCCGACTGCCATGGTCGCTGGGCGTGGCCGGCGCAACGCTGGAGATGGCAGCAACAGCTGCGGACGTGGTGGTTCTGATCGCCGCAACAACCGCGGTCGAGGCGGCAATAACCGAGGCAGAGGCGGTTCCCCCCAATGTCAAATCTGTAGATCGCATGGGCACACCGCGATCTACTGCTTCCCGCGATATGCTGGGCAACCGGCTGCGAATGTGGCAGTGGCCGAGCTATCCTTACCTTCGCCTGGCTTTTTAATACTCCACCGTCATACACGTTTCTAAGGGTGTTTGGCTGTCGCTGCTACCCTTACCTTCGCCCATATAACCGTCACAAAATTGAGTTCCCATGACGCATACACCTAAACTTTATTCTACACATCGATCACTGACCCATTTTCCAACCGCAAACACATGTTCACGGGGTCGAAATTAGATAACAGCCACCTCGCCATTCGCTTGGGAATGTCATGGGTTCATAAATTCAAGAGTTCCCCTAACCCCAACTCAACGACGGCTTTCTTTTGGCATGCATTAAATCGCTTAATTGGATTCACCAAATGCTTAGGGGACGCACGAATCTTAAGGGCGGGAAATAGTGCATCGTCAACTGCGTCGACGCCATCATCCAATTCATCAGAATCCGACCCCTGTTGGTCAGGGCGAGCGGGTAATTCTACATCAACGGGGGGTGGTGGCAAGGGGGCTACCACATCTTCAACCACTACCGACTCAACAGCAACGCCCCTTGACAACAAAAACCATTAACATAAGGAACAAAAAACACCACACCACAAATAATTAAAATGCAGTACAATATAAACTGTTATAAAATTCCAACGCACATACTCAAATCCAAGACGCACACACATAAACTTTAAACAACACACCAATTAAATTCACAAATCCAAGCACAAAAATAAATGAAAAAAAATGTTAAACGACCAAAAATAATAGTACGAATTAGAAAACCACCACAACACCATTAATTCAAGTCCAGAGCAGCAAAAAACTACTAGTAGATTCCTACACACAAACTCTTAACCCATGACGCACACACATAAATTCTAATCAACGCAGCTCACAAGTCCAAAGAACACAAACGTAAGTACCCCATCTCAAAAAAATAAAATAAAAAATTAAAAAAAAAATTAAAAAAAAAATTTTAAAAAAAAAAAACTGAATACAAAAATACGCACGTTTTACGACCAAAAATAATAGAACGATTAAGAAAAACACTACAACAAAAATAATTCAATTTCAGGACATCAAAAACTATTTGGAAATTCCTACGCACAAACCCTAAACCCATGACGCATACACCTAAACTTTATTCTACACATCAATGCAGCTCACAAATTCAAAGCACACAAAAGTAAGTACCCAATCTCCAAAGCAAAAAAACTAAAAAAAAAAAAAAAAAGGGAAAAAACCCGTGAGTTTTACTACCAAAAATAAAAGAACGATTAAGAAAAACACCACAACAAAAATAATTCAATTTCAGGACATCAAAAAACTATTATGAAATTGCTACGCACATACTCTAAACCCATAACACATACACCTAAATATAGTGAAACATACCATCCCAATCCACAAGCCAACCATAAAAAACGTTAATATCCAATCTCCACACCCAAAAAAAAAAAAAAAAAAAAAAAAAAAAAAAAAAAAAAAAAAAAAAAAAAAAAAAATTCACCAAAATTAAAAATAAAAAAAAATAAAAAATAAAAAGACCAAAAAAAACACCATAAAAAAACCAATCCCACCTCAAACCGAATATTGCAAGCAAATATAAGATATCCCAAACAATTGAACAGAACTAGCAAAATATGCATGTATTTAATATATGTCAACACACAACAGCTATGGAAGAATATAGCACAATGTATCGACCAAAGCAGTAAAAACTAAAACCAAACAAAAAAAGTAAAAAACTCAACAACAAAACATTACAAACTATATACCAAAACATTACCCCATCACTGAAACACTAAAAAACCTTTTTTAAAAACCCTAAAACAGCTACCAGGCCGTCCACCACGCCAACCCTACCGCCCCCACCGCCGAACACTACACCCGCCACCCCCACCCCCCACGCGGAGACCCCACCACGCGGAGAAAAAACTACCCACAACTACACATGCACGTCCAGCGAACATGAATTTTGAAACCAAAAACCTCAACAACAAAACTGAAACGGTAAACAAATCAAAAAAAAAAAAAAAAAAAAAAAAAAAAAAAAAAAAAAAACCACCACACCGCCGATAAACAGTCAACCCTACCGCCCCGCCACCTCCGAACACAACATCCACACAAACCCCCCACCGAAAACCCCACAGCCCTCTGAAAAACACACATGCACACTCACAAACTGGAATTTTGAAAACCAAAAAAAAAAATCAAAGAATACTCTCAGAAGACCGGCATACCTGGCGTTGAACCAGAAGAGCTGCTTCTCAGAAGCCCTGGTGGAAGAACCGGCCATGAGGAGCCCTCAAAAAACACACTGGATGGAGAGAACAACCCGGGCGAGGAACGTTTGCACAACGAATTGAATGACGCAGAGTGAAACGAAAAGACGACAATGGAGAGATGCTGATGCTAATTCCTAATATATCAACACACGCCCCAAAAATCCGCCATCCAATATCCTTGACATAATAAATAACCTAAAAAGACAAAATAGCCCCTAATTACATAACGCACACGGATGAATGGAATTAAATCCCCCAATCTAGTACGTTAAAAACAAAATAAATGGTGTAGATGAGTGCTCACGAACTCACCGAATTGGGGAGTTGCACCGGATTCAATATATATATATATATATATATATATATATATATATATATATATATATATATATATATATATATATATATATATATATATATATGTTGTGGGTAGTGCGCAATTAACCACGTGGTGGACATGCAACCATACACTCCATATAGCAAGGATTTAATCCATTGAATCATCTGTTGTGAACGTTCATTTTTGCCTTTACTCTTTCAATTTACGCAAATACAATGAGAATAGTGAAGCGATGGACAATCTCCGCTTCTCCGGTAACAATTGACGATATAAAGCTACCGCCAATATGGTTCCTAAATGGAGCATTAATCTTTATGAATGATTGATTTCCAGTGGACGATGAAAATACCACTCTAACGAACCGCGCAATTTTCCTTATTCGTTACAGTTGTAGTGTTCTTTGCAAGTCTTTTTCTTACCTCTGCAGATAAAAGCTTGTCTTATAAAGAAAAACGTGAGAATATAAAGTTTACTTATTGAAAAGCCAAGCTCTAAATTGCTCTTCCTCAATCTTTTGTTTCAGTCTTGGTGATGGAGTGCTGGGTTTTGGGCTATTTTTATAGGTGATCTAGGAGTGTTTGTGTACAGCATGGAGTTGGGAGATTGAGTTTGATTTTAACTGGGTATATCAGTGTTGTATAGAATTAGGTTTCTTCTATGTGATTACTGGAAAATACATGCCGGGGAATTAAGCATGCATGTTTTTAAGGTCATAATAATGCAGCCAAACAGTTGAGTTTTAATGGGAGTTTGAAATTTAGTAATTTTAAAAAAGAATTAACGGAGAATTATAAAACTAATAATGGAGAATATAATTTTTAACGGGAAAAGGAAAAATATAATATTGTTGAATAGAAATATGAATTTTAATATTGTTGTATTGTATTAAGATTACTAGTTATTTTACGCGCTTTGCGCGAATGAAATAATGCCCAATGATTATTTTTAAATAAGTATTTCAAAGTATATCAATGCAATATTATATTGGAGATGTTCATGCATAGGTAAATAAATATTGAATTTGTTTATTTAAATCGATAATTTAAAACATATAAATGCAAGATAATATAAGAGAGATTGAATATATTGTCACTAAAATAAATGTTTGCAACTTTGTAATAACGCTAGTCTAAATATTTAGTCTAAAAACGATAGTCTAAATAAATACTACTTTTGATTTAAATTTCTCTAATTCTTCTTAATTCTCTTTTGGGTAGCATTGTGATTGTCTTCATCTTCAGTACATGTTCTCTTTTTTTCTTTTTTTCTTTTTTTTTTATTGGTAGTGTGTCATGTGAAATTGGGTTACTGGTGGTAGCATAAATGGATTCATCGTGGATTATGGTGTAGAAAGCTTTAGATTTGCCTTGTTGTGTATATGATGAGATCTTAGTTGTACTATTAACTCTTTATCTTAGGGCATCCCCAAAAGGGGGTTTTGGAGAGATTTTGAAACAGTATAATTTTCTTTGTCAAGTTTTTCACAAATGGGAAGGGGAGATTTTGATGAATTCTTCTTCCTGAAAAATGAAAAATTTTGTCAGCTAAAGTGTCCATAAAGTGTCCTTCCACTTGCATAGTTTGATGTGACTCCATAAAGTGGGAGAAGATTGATGGTTTCAGCTCCACGTGGCTGGCATAGGATTCAATTCTTAAAATAAATAAATAAGTAAATTTTGGAGATAAAATAGTGGATCCACAAAAACGTGTGAAAAAACTTAAAACTAATGGGAAGAAGAGATTTTGTGATTGAGTGAGATAGTGAAAAATGAGGTGAATGTTGGGGCCCACGAAAATGTGGGGTAAAATCCCCAACTATTGAGGATGCCCTTACAAGCACCTATTGATATTTAGGGCATCTCCATTAGGGGGATTTTGCACATATTTTAAGAAAAAATTGATGTGTTGGAGGAGAGAGGAGATAGAGGGTTGGGGTTGTTAGGTTATTTAAGGTATTTTGTCATAATTTTGAGGATTTAGGGGGGTTTTTGAGGGTTTTTTCAATTTTTGATTTTGTTTTTTATTTTTCTTTTTTTTTTTCTTTTCACCCATTTCTCTTTCCTAATCACACTTGCAAAATCTCCTCAAAATCTTATCACTATAGTTTTTCCTTTACATGTTTCATGCGTTGTGAGATGTGTGTAGTAGGTTATCATGTGAAAATATTGAACAAAATATTAATATTTAGAGTTAATACCTCCAATGGTCCTTTGAGTATTGGGGTATTACCATCTATGGTCATCCAACTTTAAAACGTCCTTCAAGTTTTGAAAAATAACCATCCGTAGTCCTTCTTTAAATTTTATGTTAAAATGGTGTTAAGTTGGAGGGCAAACTTGTTCTTTCACCACGTCATTCCTAATTTCATGTTCCATGGAGGCGACTTCACCGCCGGAAACAGCACCGGAGGCGAATCAATCTACGGAACGAAGTTTGCCAATGAGAACTTCGTGAAGAAGCACACTGCC